TATCTGTTCAGATGGCCCACTCTACAGTGAACAACTCAGTCCCCTAGAGTGGCCTACTCAGCTCTAGATGGTTCCCTTCACTGATTGGTAAATGGATCAATGGCATGTTGTGGGACATATTTCAAACTCATGTCCAAGTGTTACAACAACATGAAGAAAGTATGGCCAGGGATACACTCAAACCAGGAGTGGTGGTTCACACCTATAACCCCAGAACTTGGGAGGCAGAATCAGGAGAATTACTACAAGTCGAAGGCCAGCCTGGTCTATATAATGAGTTCAAGGCTACCTGTTTTGTTTAAAACAAAACAAAGCAAACAAATGAAAATTAGATTAGGCACCCATCCATTCATCACTGCCTCTCACACTGAAATCGCCATCACTATCTTGTGAGCAGAATCCCATCAACATCATGACTACCAGGATGCCAAAAAATTCTCTATGGAGGAATCTTGCTTGAGTTTTTGAAAGCATATGACAAAGTTGCCGAATCCATGCCATTCACAATGCACTGTGCTTCTTTAACTCATTACAAAGAAGAAAACAAATGAGAACTCTTACCTATTCATTTGCTTCCTAACCAGATAGACATACCTTGGTAAAATATTGTGAAAAAATCATCCCTGACACTAGTATGAATAGATGGAATAGTATGAGATAGTTTTGTGATGGTTTGACTTAATGATTTATCAATTTTATGATGCCTCATACATGATACACGTTTAGTAGAAATCTTTTAATTTCAATATGTGTTCCATAGAACCACATTTTTTTTACTTATGATATTTTCAAATTATGTGTTTAGCAGATCATGACCCCACCATAAGTGAAGGAACACCTACATAGTCTTTTAAAGAACATATCTTATTTAAAATGTAGTGGATCTTTTAAATGTTCCTGAAATTATCTGAGTGTGCCCCCACATACCAGTGGCACAGAATGAAAAAAAAAAACAAACCTCCAGGAACAGCATTTGGGGAATCAATAGAATTGGGGGCACGCTTATCTCCTGACTTCTCTTGGCTTTGGCCCTCACAGCCAGGGGGAAGCTCAGAATGTGTAAGATGTAGTGTACGCTGCCCCCACCACACACACCATGGTGCCTTGTTTTGCTCCCTTGGGACCCAGGTTTACAGATCTGAACACAGTTTTCCAAAACGTAGGGTCCATATGGTGAAGTTCCATCCAAATGTGAAGCAGAGAGTTATTAATCAAAGACTTGGAGGACGACGGCAGCTCTCAGGCAAAGGAATGTGTCTCCATTCAACCAACATGTCTCCTGGGAGCAGGAAGGGTTAGTTGAGGATGCATGCTGTCTAATATCACATTTCTCTCTTTTTTTTCTAGAAACTCTCCATAAGAAATACATATTATAACTGCACAGTGCACACACATACATTTCTGTACAAGTTGCCGGAAACAAAACTTTTCTCTCCCCTTTGAGATGCATTTGATGTTTTCTCTTCTTTTTCATTCTGTTCTTTTCCTTTTTAAAAAATGTTGTCATTTAAGCCGGGTGTGGTGGTGCACGCCTTTAATCCCAGCAGATCACTGGCAGATCTCTGTGAGTTCAAGGCCAGCCTGGTCTACATAGTGAGTTCCAGGACAGCTGGGGCTACAGGGAGACCCTGTCTCAAAAAGATCCCCCCAAATGTTGTCAAATAGAGAGTAGATCATCAAATTCCAGGGATTGTGAACAGGATGGGGGGGGGGAATGCCATCTCTTGGGTAAGAGAGCAGTTCTGTATCTTGATTGTGAGGATGGCTATACAAATCTGTGCATGAGAAGGAGCACTGCCATATAGAGAAATGTGTATACTGAGGTCAGTAAAGTCCTGGTAAATTCTCAAGTCAGTAGCAGTTAAAGGTATCACATCAATATCAGTTTGTTGAAACTGCAAATGAGCTATAGTTATGGAGTGTGTTGACACTTGTGGGGGGTCCTGGGTGATGTTGACACTGGCGTGGTCCTGCGTGATGCCACACAGGCCTCTTTACACTTTTCCTCTTTTCTGGTATGAAGAAAAGTTGGGGTTTATTAAGAAATAGTTTTAATACAAATTTAAGCCTAGGCATTAGCGGAGAGGAATCCTTAGGAAAAAGACAGCACACACTCAAGATGTGCGTGAATAGTACAAAAGAGAAAGTTGCTTCTGCACTGTTTTTACAATTTCTTGTGTGCATTTATATTTTTGAGGGTTTCTCATTTTTAAGACAGGGTCTCACCATGTAAAAGGATATTCTCAAACATCCTGCATCTGTTTCCCAAGAACTGCAATTATGAGTATGTGCCACCCCATCCAGCATTTTATTTTTACAATGCTACTTAATACCTATTAGACTGATAGCACAAAGTCACAACACACAGACCAACTCGAACTGTATTTCACCAGGGCTGGAGTCTGAATTTTGGACTAATAGCGATACAGGGGAGAAACAGTGTCCCCTAGAGGGCTCTTAGTCTTATTCATAAAAGAATTTAAGAACAGACTCAAACAGAGGCTTTAGGACAATTTTATTAGAATTTAAGGAAAAATCTTCAGGGCAGGCAAGCTGGGAATCTTGGCAGCTGCCCCAAAGAGGACAATGGAGGGGAGAAGGGAAAAAGCCATGAAGCCATGCTGTTTAGAGCCTGCATAGAGGTCAGACATTGGCAGACTGGCAGCCACATGGTAGGGAGGAAGCTTTAGAGAAAAAGTAAAGAAATACAAGCTGCTGGGGCAGCCCAAAGCATTAGGGAAAGGATACTGAGAAAAGACATATGAAGAAGAAAAGGAGAATAATTCTACTTTTCTGAAGAATTCAGAAAATCAGCAGGACTTACAGAGAGCCAACCTGTCTGCGACCCAGATCCACGAGAACTGCAGTAGGAGGCAGGATTCTGAGCAAGCAAAATTCACTATCTCATTAACACACTAGGTATTCTCCCATCTCCTTAGCCTAACTTAAGGTGAACCTACCTTCCTTGGGGTGGTCCTATGACCAGGTGATTGACCTGCAGAAACTGGAAAGTTAAGATTCCAACCAAGCCAGGAATTTTTATTTTTTGAGTCGTTAATCTTATAGGGCTTTTTTCTACCTTAACAATAGCAGCTGTAACTGCATGAACTAATTTTTTTTTTCCTGAATATGTCACACGCATCCCAGTATTGGAGCCACTTGGAACTCTATAACTTTAATCCTGTTAGCCACTCATTGAAGTTTTAAAAGGATTACACAAAGCAAACAAACTTGTATTCCTTTCTGTTTGTGTATTGGCCTCTAAATACCCCTGACCTAGCCCACCCCCACTTTTTATTTGTGTATCACAGTTGGACAAAATAATGGTTTTAATTATGACATTTCCAAAGTACATACGATGTACTTTGATCATATTTCCTGTAGAAAAAGGGTTAAGTTCCCCTTCTTCCTCCAGTCAAGACATTGGCACAATCGAATCTTGTCCTTGGTTCCCGTGAGTCTCTGCAGGCGGTTACTGGAAGAGCAAATTCCTGGTACTCACATAACTTTCTGAGTCTTCAGAGATATGTATTTTTAAAAAGCTCCCCAGAGATTTCTATGCACATGAATTTACTGGGAAGTTTGGAAAAGCTCACTAAAAGTGGATGCGTAAGAACAC